TAAATAAAAATATTTACTTAAATTAGACATTTTTTTTTAAAGAAACGCAATGTCTGCAAATTATCCAAGACAAAAACCCAAATTAAAATCACCTGTGCCTAAGGAACCCTTAACTAATCCCATTTATCAATGTGAGTGATTATTAAACCTAGTAACCCCCAAACAGAACCAGAAGAATTATTCTCCAACAAAAGTCATAATTAAGATTAGTATGGGGTGGATAACAATTTAACTAAACCAAATTACAACCCCGACTTTGCAAGACATTGAATTCTTAGCGGACGAATCTGATGATCCCCAAGAATAGTCATAGCTGACCCTATTTACACCAAAAAGAAAAGTAAGCAAGCAGTGCAGAAAGCTTAACGTTAGGGAAGACCACTCTTGTGGCAAGCGAACATAGATAGTAGTAAGAGCGTCTAATGCTTTGCACTGATTTAAAGAGTCCCACGTGGGGAGCTACTTGCACTAATCGCAGCACTTTCACGGGTAACGACGACTTCGAATAAAATTGAAGGTTTGAGAGTTTAATAATAAAAAAATCACATTCCAGTACCAGTTTAACATTATCAAATTATCTTCGTTATCTTTTTGTATGTAACTGTGCTTCCTCTTGGGTGTTTAATTTCGGGTATTTTTCAGTAATTCGCGGGACCGTGCCTGGTAAGAGGCTACAATAATCCTGTTATTGTAGCGGTACACAGCCGACCTTCAGGAACTTTTGTATTGTGTGTTCCACATCCATTGCTTTATTTGTTCACTGATGAATGTGTGTGGAGTGAACCATGGAGCCGTTATTTATGGTGGTACAGTAGTGAGAAAATCAGCAGATGGCTTGGTATTGAAATGTGCTAGTTTATAATTAAGATAAAGCTGATATAAGGCTATGTATGATCCTGGTATAGGTTTCCTGGCCGGCTGCCTAGCGTGCTCTAACACAGCGGCAAGTTGACGTCCTTGGGCAGATGGGAACCTCGCGCCAGTTTTTTGTTTAATAGCAAGAAACTTTTTCTGGTCGTAAACGTGATAGTCTCTGCCCCCGTTTCCTGGTTTCCCTAAATTCCTGCTTAGTTACCAACAAAATTACATTAGTTATTTCCATACCTTCGGGTACAATTATTTCCATACCTGTGAGGAAGAATTATTTCCATACCTGTCAGTAAAATTATTTCCATACCTGTGGGCTACGTAGCACACACACACCTGTGTGTGCTACATTCTTTCCACAACAGAAATACCCAAGTGAGCCAGATATGTAATATGAATGCACGAGGTTAGCAATTGCATTAGTAGTATATGTTTGCAGAGTAGCAGTGCAAGGGAAACTATACACATAGGAATTCAGTATTCGCTTGAATACGTGAGGAAAGAGTATTACATAAGCTTGCATAAGCAGGTTGAAGTATTTAAGGAAATTATCTAACATGTCAAGGAGAACACAAGCAGTTCATTAGAGAAATATAGTAGAAAAACTTGATCTGGTATTCACACCCTGTTTGCGCAAGGGACGTCGATGTGAGGGCGGATGTAGCGGTGGAGGGCGGCGTTAGAAGAGTACAAGTCAGAAGTCTGTTAATTTTAGTATTAAAAATAATTAGTGATAAAAACTTTATTTTTAATAAAAGATTTATCCATATATTTACCTTCAGGGGCGTATATTCAGTGCTGTGTCCGCGCTTCATACTATTGGAGTCAGCAAGGTGGACAGCCCGCCTGATTTCATAACTCTCACAGTATTTCCCATTTATAAACTTCCCTTCACCTATCATCTTTACTCAAAATATTTAAGTTAGACTTCCTCCATCATCTTTACTAAAAAAAAACCTAATGCTACTTTCTGTCGTTTTAGTTATAAACGCAGCAGGCTATCGATCTCTGATGATTATTGGTAAAACAACTATGAATAGTTATTTAATAAATGACCACGTTTGCATCAACCTTGTGAAGAGAGAAAAACTCGTACATGTAAAATTAAATGAATTTGCACTATTGTTGATTAATTGAAATATGCACAATAATGAGCTCCATTTGCTTAACATGATTTTGAGTTGTCCTGTCAGCTTCACTGTATATATATATATCAAGTATATCAATGGCATGGTGCAGTACAATAATTGTACTGTACCATGCCATTTAAATTACTTGAATTTATTATAATTAATTAACTATCTTCTGTCACTAAATATGGAGTGAATGCATTTTCTATGTAAGAATAATTTTCATATAATGTGAAGGGGCACAATCACAGTTGGAGTTTTAGGGGATCTTCATACATTAGCTGGAAATTACATTACAGTATTGCACTGAGGACAGGCAACTGCTGTGCCCTGGTATTTGACTTATCTAGCCTTGGACTAGTGATAATGAAGGTCAAGGAAAGGAAAGTGGAGAAAGAGAGAATAAGCCTAGCTAACAGGAGAAATGCTCATGGAAAAACTTGGGTCAAATTAATTAGCCATGAGACTCGTATAGATTGGCATCAATAGTACTGTACAGTACTTTTATTAAAAAAATACCTAATTTACCTGATCCTTCAACCCAAGTGTCTAACGCTTCTCGCAACTGAATATTGTACATATAAATAACATATTACTTAGTAACATTAAAATATTGTAAGGAAATAGGTAGAGAGAGGAAAGTTGAAGAACAGCTTAGAGGGAGGATGTGCGAGGTGGAGAGTGAGGAATAGCAGTCTGGTGAAAGGGAAAGTTTAGAAAATGGGATGCAGGGTAAACTTTGTAAGAGGGCAAAAGGGGGTAGAAATAGGAGAGTAAAAATAGGGAAGTATCAGGGGAAAGTGCCAAGCCATTACGACTATATAACACTGGGAAAGGGTCAGGATAAGGATTTGGGATGGGTTGGGGGGGTAGGAATGGTGCCCAACCTTGTGGACGGTCGGGGATTGAACTCCGACCTGCATGAAGTGAGTAGAAAGAGTTAAAGCAGATGTTAGAGTAGATAGAAGGTAGATAGAGGTAGAGCTGCCACCATCCACTCAGAATGTTTAGATAAGGAATGGAACTTGTTTCTATAATAAATTTTAGAAGTAAGAAACTATAACCATGTAAAACAAAATTATCAAGTCATAATCTTTAGTTTGTAATCTTCAGAGTGCTCTCCACTCACTTTCACTTTATCATAAGTCAAGGAATGAATTAAAGGCCATAGGTTATCAGATTTAAGATAATTACAAAGTCTTGGGTATTATTCATTTATTATATATGGATAATTATATTCCCTTGACTTTCCCATATCAACACTAATCCAGAATCGATCATCACACACACCATAATCAAACTCACCAAGGTCTGTTGAGTATAAGTTGGTTAGAGAGGGGGTATGGCTGACAGTCAAGGAGCCCCCATTCTGGACAGGCCAGTGTAATATCTGGCAAGCTCTCGCCGGATCTTCTGGTGAAGAGTGAAGACCTTGTAGCTATCTCAGTGTACAACTGTACTCCCTAGAAAGGAGATGAGAGGGGTATCAAATAATATACACATGGAAAATACTGAAGGGCAGGCCCCAAATCTACACAGTAAAATAACAACATACTGGAGTGAATGATATGGAAGGAAATGCAGAATAGAACCAGTGAAGAGCAGAGGTTCCAATCAGAGCACACTGAATAAACATCAGAGGTCCATGGTTGGTCAACATACTCTCAGCAAGAATAAGAAATATTGCCAGAACAAGCATGGATGTTTTCAAGAGAAAACTGGATAGTTTTCTTAACCCCTGCACTATGCACCTGTTTTTGGCAAAAATTTCATGGTGTAGTTAAGGATATATTTGTGTTGTTTTAATAATGTTCAGGTAGTGTTAATGTCAAAATGTTTCCAAACTAAACTATTTTCATTTCAAAACACAGAGTGATGAAAACATTAAAAAACATTAAAATATTGCCTAATTAGAAAAAACGGACGACTCTCAAAACGACATTTGTTGGCTGGCGCAGTTGAGGGGGTTAAAGAAGTGCTGTAGCAACCAGCCTGTGGTGGATATGTAGGCCTGCGGGCTTCTCCATGCAACAACCTGTTGGGCCAAGCTCTCTCAAGTCAAGTCTGGCTCCAGGCTGGGCTTAGGGAGTAAAACAACTCCTAGAACCCTGTCCAGGTACAATCCAGATACAACTCCTAGAGTATTCAAGGGGGGAGCCAAGTTAAGCTCTGTCTATCTTACTATCACATCTAAACAGTGGCTTGTTTGATGGACAGACACCGGCAACCATCTGTAAATTATCAGCTTAGCAGAGCGCAAGTCACCTGACATGTGACCTCACCCAGCCTGTGAAAATTAGCACCTCAAAAGGTGTGCCTTTGCTATTGTCAGACCTACAGCCTGGCACCACCAAAATCCTGAGTGAATAACTATTTGTATCATTGAATATTTTAAATTCAGTAAAACCATTTACAATATGGTTACAATATGTGTTAGTGTTACAATATGACAAGTAATACAGTAACATGATGTACGGGACCCCTTGCATACCTATTGATAACTTAAACTTGGTAACTTCTGGAACTTATAGACTAAGTTACTTTTTAAAATGGTTGAAGTCGACATAAAGCTTATAAGAAGATTTGAGTATACTGCATAGGGTAGAGGATTTATCTACTATTTTCCTTCCCCTCTCTTGAGCTGCAGTAGTGATTGTCCCATAAATGGGTTCACACAAATACTTTTCTAATCTCTATACTATTACTGGGGTACTTGTTTTTGCTGGGGCACCTAGTCCATACAAAACTTTCTAAGAAAAACATCAGGTATGCTAAGTTACTATGGTACTTTTTACAATATAAATAGGTACAAATATGTTGAATCTGAAGGAATTGTTGCATTTTAGTCCTGTACTTTTCAAAAACATTAAGGTTTAATGCATTGTATTAAATAAATGATGGATGACCTTAACCAGCTGTTGGACATATTGTACAGTACAGTATATAATTTATGAATACAGTACTTATTATTTCATATTTATTTATTTCACCATAATATTGCAGATGATATATCCTGGAGACAGAGAGTTGACGGAGCGAGAGCGTACCAATATCTGCTACTTGGCATTCCCAGACAGCAACTCTGGTCTCATGGGCAATGTACAATTCCATTTCCGAATCCGGCAATGCCCACAATCTCTACCTCTACAAACCCGCACAGCTATTTACCAGTACAATGCTTCCTGTCCAACCAATATACAGGTACTGTATTATATCCCTTCTTAACTTGTATTTAATTTTTTTTTTCTCCACTCAAGGGTACAGGAGTAGTACTTGACTAGTTGTGCTTGCAGGGGTTGAACTTCGGCTCTTTGGTCCCGCCTCTCAGCTGTCACTGTACTAGTGTACACATTCCTGTAGTCTTCTGACCTGTTCATAGATTGTTTTCTCTCCCCCCCCCCCCCCACAGCTCATTTGTAGCCTTTCCCTACAGTACAGTATTAGATTTTCTCTAGAATGCTATCTAATTGCTATTTGCTCAGTGTAGGAGCATCACTGCTCTGCCCAGGGATTTGAACCCAGGTTGCTGCTTGTTTGTAAAAGAAGCAGGTGAGAGCACTGACCACTATACTGTACTTTACGTCAGTATGCTGTAAATTGTACTTTATAGCCCTTTGTTCTTTATGAATACAGTAACTTGTTTCAAACTTTCAATTAAATTATAATTTTAATTGTACAGTATTGTCATTCAAGTTATTGTTGTAATTCATATTATCAGTGTTTTATTTTCCTGTTAAGGTTTTCGTATTCAAATATACAAAATTATGCATCAGATATAAAATAATTATTTAACAGGTAATTTCTACTTGATAATTTTAAGTCAGGTCCTTTATTAGTTATCAAAGTACCAGTAAGATATCTTGTATAGTAGTTTTAATTAAATTTGTTTTGAGTGTTCCTTGTAATTTCTTGAAAATGGCATTGTGTATCGAACAAGTTCATTCATTCATTGTGAGGTATGACCACGAGTGATATCTCGACAACAAAGCATAACTGTACTAAAATGTCAAGACTTGTCCAGATACCAGGGAATTTTCCCTAGTAGTCTTGGTTTGAATTGGTACCTTGGAAGATTTGTTCTAAGAGCCTTTTCTGAGCTATCCCACTCATTTCACTGCTAAGATAAGATTGATGTCTAATAGACAGGATCATAAACAGCCTGGCAAAGCTACACTATGACACTGGAGCCACATGTTATATCTCAGTTAGTCACTGGCAGCCCAAGAGGTGAATTATGCTTAGATTGCAAGCCACACTTTTGGTCAGCCAATGTCCCTAAGCTCTGAGCCTCCATTCTGGACATGGGAGATGAGATGATCAAGCTGGAGGTGCAGACCAGTAAATCATATACCCATAGATATGCTAGAGGCTGAGCTCATCTATACATCAGCTGTGAGACATGGATCTGCAGCAAGATGGACTCACACAATAAGTCACCCAAACTAAATACTTTATTGTGCAAGTAATCCTAAAACACCACAGCAATTCATAATATTCACTAACCCTGAACAATGAATGAGCATAAGAATGTCCTATTCCTGTCTGGAATAGGGCAGATACAGAAAACACCCGTCTCTGTTAAATAGAAGGAAAAGAAAAGTTGAGAAACTGTAAAGCACAATCCCACAGATGCAATCTTTCCTCACTGGCTAAGTAACCAAGACTCAACCCATTCGTCATGCCTCTTATAATAAACAGGGCAGCTGTCAGATTGACATTTGGTCATTCTGTCATTCCAAAACTGAATGTGATAGGTTCCAACAATGTCATTTGCCACAGAGTGGGAAGTCAACTGACAGAGGGCAGGTAACTCTGCTAGTTATTCATTCTAACTCTTTCATGCCAATACACAGGGATTTTCTAATGGACTCTCAGCTCAGGCGGGCCATCATTAGGAAATTGATGTACAGTGTACATTTCACTTACTAACCAAGGTTCTTGCTTCATGCTGGTTACCTTTAACTTTTATATATGCAGAACACGGGTAGCCAACTTCCCCATTATTAAACACTTTTTCAGAAATGGTGCAGATAGATAATTTGCTAGATTTACACTTGGGTGAAATTTTTTCCTTTCCTGTAGTGAAAGAGGGTAATATTCTATTAAAAGGTGAATAATATTAAATCTTTGGAGTTAATCTTCGTATCCGATGGCAAATGTTTTACATGACTTCTTTCAGGTCAGTCATATGTAATTCTCTACTTTTGTGGCACTTTTTATATTACTGTACAGTACAGTACTATGAATGATTGCTTAAAGCAGTATTGTGTTAACTTAATTTTCCCTAACTGCATAAATGATGTCTTCTTGATCTAAATAATCTAAGGATATGCTGACACAAGTTTTAACCTATCATATACAGACAGAGGATGGCTACTTGTATGGGTATGTGTACTTCAGGCAGGTGAAAGATCGAACGTTGCGACGGGGATATTTCCAAAAGGTGAGCTCAGAATTTAATTTTCTATTTCAGTGATGTAATATTTAGGTTTTGTTAACAGTTCATGTATTTAAACTAAACATCTATGTGCACTGCACTACATGCTATGTTGCCATTTGTCCTATTTAAAAAAAAATTAATAAAAAATAAAGTTGTTTCTGATCTGGTAAAAAATGTAACGTGTAAATTTTCCGAGTCATACTGCTTCAGTGTAAATGTCACGAAAGCAAAATTGTCAAAGTTGGTTCAGTACTTTTAAGTAAGCCATTACTTACCAATGCATTGTCTGTAGCATTTAGCAAGTCTGTAGCATGTAGTAAGCATTTACATACCAAGGTGGAAACCTTGGTATGTAAATGCATGACTGGATCACTGATTTTTAATATTTGTGGACTTCACACACATGTATGTTGAACAGACCAGTAATTTTATGAAAACAGTTTGGTGTGTGTTAGTTTGTGAATTCATTCCTGTCAACGGAATTGAAGTTGTATAGGACCATAAGTGGTGTGTAAATGTTTAAAATTCTTCTGAACTGACGATGGAAAGAAAACAAACAATAAATTGAAACAATAAATAGAGGGTAGGATATTGCTAAATTGTAAATTAACTTTCATCATATGAATGTTGCATGTGTGAATTTTTGGAAACATCGTCCATTATCCCTTACTCCATTTAGGCTTTACTTCAATGCCAAATTCAGTTGGCATTGAACTTAAAATAGCTTTTGAATCTGTTTATTCTTGCAAAAGTACATTTAGCAGCCCTTTTTATCTCACCATTCACCCGTCATGTATTTTGATAATTTGTCCGTATACAGTTCAGTATACAGTGTGTGTTTCTTAATTTACCTATTTAACTAACCTCATTAACAGCAGTTGCTAACAGGTTCTCAACATGACTACTGCAAGATTATTTTTTATTACCATAATGTTATCTCAAGATGGATATTTTATAATATTTTGCATTTTTATATTCATTAATGTTAACTCATAATCTTAGACATGATTCTGATACTGACCTTGATATGACATAAATTAGTTACTGTGGATGTCAACTGAAAACATTACTGATGTCTCATTTTATTTGTGTATATGTATGTGTGTGTGTGTGTGTGTGTACTCACCTAGTTGTGTTTGCGGGGGTTGAGCTCTGGCTCTTTGGTCGCCGCCTCACTGTGTGTTTGTGTGTGTGTGTGTGTGTACATATACATACATATACATACATACATATACATATAGTAGTAGGCATCCATCAGTATCATATATACATATACATATATACACACACATATACATATATACACACACATATACATATACACACACACAGTGGAACCTCGAATAACGAATTTAATCCGTTCCGGCGCCGTAATCATCATGTGAAATGGACATCATAGAAAACGGATTTCCCCATTGGCAATAATGGAAATCAAATTAATCCGTTATACCACCGAAAAACATCAATATGATATGCGATGTTTTAAATAATGGAGCAGCCTACCTTACATACACTGAACAAACCCCTTATGACATTTTTTTCTTCAAATTTGTTCAATTTTTTTATATATAGCAAACGGTTCGTTCAGTGTTCGGCAGGTAAGTTGCTCTGTTTCTTAAATAAAAAAAAATAAAAAATTTTGAAAAACAGAACAAATGTCAAAAAGGTTCGTTCGGTGTTCGGCAGGTAGGCTGCTCCATGTTTCTTAAATAAAAAAAAATAAAAAACAGTTGAAACAATTTGAAAAACGGACAAATGCCATAAAGGTTCGCTCTGTGTTTGTCGAGTAGGCTGCTCCATTATGACAATCTTTGTTTCAAATGTGTTCCATTTGTTTTTATATTTTTCATTTATGTCTCAATAATGGAGCAGCCATTATTGAGCCATATCTAAAGTTACAGATCAATAGGTTACAGCCATATGTAAAATAACAGATCAATAGGTTTTATTTAGAGAGAGAGAAAGATAAAACCATGAAACTAAATTTTTCAGAGTGTTGTCTTGCTGTCACACCTGCCATTGGTGTCCCTCTTCACTACAGTTCTGGACTTGGTAGCTCCAGAATATTTTGATACTGGGGAGGCCAGCCTAGAGGCAGCGTGCCACCACCTAGATCAGTGGCCACCTCCCACGCCAGGCACCATCCTCAGTCTGCCTTTATTGGGAACTCTGTTACAAGTATGTAATTATTAATGTTGGATCCACAAACCATGTTTTTTAGTCTGAAATGTATAAATAGGTTGTTATTGTTCCTAGAGGCACTAAACAGCCAGGTCTTTGCCTCCTTGTTACTGATAATTGTGATCTCAACTGCTGATTGAATTTATGAATTGAACTGATAACATAAATTTGTGTGGTTACATATCACATGCCTAGTTGGCTCTGACAAATCATCGGCTATTTTGGAAGAAACGCCCAAACCCTGATTTCCTTCTTGGGACTTGCATCATGTCTGGTGCATCACTTAGCAGCCAGTAAGCATGGCCATGCAAGAGACAGATACCATGCAAAATTGCAGGAATTTAACAGGAGATGGAAGATCTTAATTATGAAGAGGAATACTGTATATCCAAGTACATAGTTAACCTAAATATAATTCAGAGATTAGTGCAGTTACAAGTGCAGACTACAAAGACAAATGGCCTGAGGATAGGCTGTGGAAGTAGAGCTCTCAAAATTGTCAACAGGTAGTCAATATGTAATGTTTGAGGATGAATTGAAAATGATTTTTTAAGTATAATTTTACATTTTGCAGAGTTAGTTTAGTTCATTTATTATGCACCCCATACCCATCTTGTGGACAGTAGTGTAAAGGGTTACAGAGGTATATAATGGGCTCAGGGACTGAACCCCACAATTCATTTAGCCAAGCAAGTTTCAATCTTGACGAGCTAGTTACAAAATTCAATGCACAACGTCACATCAACAATGGGCACAAAGAAGTAAGAAATTAAGTACCGTACGTAAACGGGAATAGTCCACACTGCCTGGTTGGCAGTAGTGTGGCTAAAGTGATCCTGATATTTAAGCAAAGGTACAGATTCCTTGCTGTGACCTACCATCTGATTAACCTGATACACATGGGGAGCTATCTTGAGGTTATCTTGAGATGATTTCGGGGCTTTTTAGTGTCCCCGCGGCCTGGTCTTCGACCAGGCCTCCACCCTCAGGAAGCAGCCCGTGACAGCTGACTAACACCCAGGTACCTATTTTACTGCTAGGTAACAGGGGCATAGGGTGAAAGAAACTCTGCCCAATGTTTCTCGCTGGCGCCTGGGATCAAACCCAGGACCACAGGATCACAAGTCCAGCGTGCTGTCTGCTCGGCCGACCGGCTCCCTAATAACTAATTGAGACTATAATGGTGAATTCAATGAGAAAATACCTCGACACATATGCACATATAAAGGACTCGGCATGGTTTCTTGTGAGAACACCCTTGTCACAAATCTACTCTCCTACTTATTTGAGACAGTTGACAGCTATAAAAATGATGTGTACTTGACCTTAGTAAGACCTTTGACACTGTTTTCCAAGAGATCATGAGGAAAGTCGAGGCCCAAAGCATTGGAAGTAATGCTCTCAATTGGATCAGGCCTGGTTGAAGGATAGGAAGTAGAGAATTAACATCAATGGAAAGGGGTGAAAGAGGAGTGTAGAAATATTGCTAGTGGTGTGTTCTCCAGGGCTCTTTTTAGGGTTCTTGTTTTTCATATGTCAATAACCTAGATGTTAGGGGTGAACAGAAATATCAGCAAGCTTGTGATTGACTCAAAAGTATAAGGAGTACAGTAGTTAAAATAAAAATGAGGACTGGAATTCCAGAAAGACCTTATCACATTGCATAATGTGGCAGATACAGTTCAGTTTTAATAAGTGCAAGGTCCTGAACATGGGAAATGGAACTGGCACTGTCTACCAGAACAATGATGCAGATTTTGGCAATTCAAGTTGTGAAAGAGACTTGGGTGCGGTGATTGGCACTGACCTGAGACTTAAACATGTGTTTAAACATGTTTAACAAAGAAAATAGAATGCTTGAATTTATAACTGGTAGCATTTGCAATAAATGCACGAACATTGACCTCCAATTATATTTGGCACTAGTGATTCCCTACTTAAACCATACCATCACATACACTATGAAAATCATAATAATGTGATATATCTATGAGAAAATCATCCACTCCTGGTGACTATTACAGATCAGACAATAATTACCTCATGAAAATCCAACATAGGGTTACTAGACTTATTATTGGTGTTTAGGACCTCCCATCTGAGGAGAGGTTAAGCAAGCTCGGTCTACATTCCCTGGAGAGGCACGAGGCGAGGGAAGACATGACCAAGGTCTTCTAATGGATGAGAGGCATCACCAAGAGGGAAAAATGAACACAGTCTTGAAACTATCAGACCAGGTCAGCACCTGTAACAATGACTATAACCTGGAAGCATTCATATTCAGGCAGTATTTGAGAAAGTACTGGTTTGGTTATAGGGCAGTAGATGAGTGGAATAGGTTGCTGGCCAACATCATTGAGGTAAGTGATATAGCGAGCTTTGAAAAGTAGGCTTGGTACCCTCTAGACCCACTCCTCATTGGGGAGGAGTGGGTCTAGAGGGGCACCACCCAGAATGAGTCAACAAGCCTGCTGTGATGACTCCTACCTATGTTGTTTTTCTTGAAGTTAAGAATAATACAGACTTCAAAGGGTATGTTGTTTGCAGTTGCTTAGCATTTTAAACATTAGTTATAGTATCAGAATTGTTATTAAAAGCTATTTCTGATGCAAATTTACACTGCTGCCAATATTCCTTCAAGAGTATTATCATTCATTTGACCCTATTTACATTCATTGTTACATAGAAACTATTGAATATCATAAATTAAATATATTCTTCAATAATTGAAATCATTATAGGGTATAATAATTTATTGCAAATGTATTTACAAAATAAGTACACTGACTTGGTATGGTTCAGTTCCTGAGCCTGTTATGTGCCTCTATAACCTATTCCACTATACAATATCCAAAGGAATGTAAATTAGCTAACAAATAATATCCCTGAATTTCTCTCTTAATTACATCCTTTTTCAGGTACGAATACCAAGTCGCCAAGACAAGCCCGGGGCATCAACTCTGACGCCTTCTTCCCCTCATCACACTTCACCTGGTCCTCTCACAGTCCTTGTACCGACTCCTCATGAGACAGAGGTAATGTGTGTTTTCTCATCAGACATTAATTTTTAATATAAAGTAAGATATCTTTATTCGTAGACAAGCGACACGCGCTAAAAGAATCTTTACCCAAATGCGTTGATTTAGTCCTTCCTAGTCGGAGCACTAAGAAATCTAAATTGTGCTTACCTTTTTATCTGTATCAGTAGACCTCTTATGTGAAGTATGTTACTGTGCTCTGGCTGCCTTAGTGATTAAACATGTGTGGGTACCAATAATGTATACAAAAGAAGCATATATATACTTCATGATTTCATGGAACTATATTTTTTAAAGTTAAACTCGATATTTACTCATTAAATATAAAATTACAACAAGATAATTTTTAAATATTACTATTATTTTTCAGCAATTTCACTGGTTAGCAAATTGTTTTATGAAGTAATTTGTTTACAGGCATTCCGTGTGCTGGCGCCAGTGTTACCACACTTGAACCTCTTGTGGGAGTTAGTGTTAACAGCTGAGCCTTTGGTGGTGATGGCAATGTCTCCAACAACCGCTGCCAATGCTGTACAAACACTAATCAGGTTAGTAGCATTATTAGTGAAGGTGAAGGAAAGACCCAGTATATGTGCAAGTGTATTGAAACAAATTTTTGGATGTAACCTGCATACTTTCTCAAGGTGCTGTATACAATGTTCTGGAGAACATTGTATACAGTATTCCTTCACCTTCTTTCAAGCACTGCAGCATTGAAGTTTCTCAGTAATATTAGTTTTGAAGTAAGCGAGAAGTCACCAGCTCCTGTAGTTATATATGTACTGTAGTGTGGTTCGCTCCAAATGCTTCAGCGGGTAACTTGGAAGTGTAAGAGTTTCCACTATTCTGGATGTATATATAAAAAAAATGAGAACTTGAAAATGGTTGATGTAAGGTGTGGATAATCACAACATTGGAAAGTAACTGTCTTCCATCAAAGCCAACATAATTTCCTCATTAACTTTTATATCATTATTAATTTGCTCACTTAAAATAGTTGCAATAAATATACATTCTCATTTCACCAATATTGCAATATTATTTTACATTAATGTTTGGTTGAAAGTTCCTTCAGTTAAAGAAATTCAGAAACTTGAGACAGTCTTAAATAAAACAAGTGCACATAAATCATTTGTGGCCATTTTTGTTCGTGTTGACTTAGGATATATTTTTGTTTTATTTGGTTTGTGTGTAAATATACTTTAATTCATATTGGTGAAGTTTGTGTAATGTTATTTTTGTGCATAAAAGTACCTAGTTAAAAGTAATTGCTTATTAATGGGTAGTAACCCTTTGAGATTGCCACTAAACTAAACAGCTGCCTTAGTGATAAAAAATACATGTACAAAAATAAAAATGAAAATTTATTCTTTTCGAATAAGAATTTAAAATTACTTTCTAATTAGAAAATAAGGTTAAATATGTTTCATTAATCACATAATGTTTTGATTATTTTATACTGTATTATGCATTAATTAAGACACACACTGCTTTGTGAATGTAATATTCTTTCATGTCATGTATTTGGTATTAAATTAAATGTTTTTTCTTCAGCCTTATCACTCCTCTGAAATTTAGTGGTGACTATCGGCCATTCTTTACCATCCACGACTCTGAATTTAAGGAGTATACCACGCGCACTTCAGCGCCACCTAACGTCATTCTTGGAGTTACGAATCCATTTTTTGCCAAAACTCTGCAGCACTGGCCACATATAATAAGAATTGGAGATAATTCAGGTTAGTATCAAGGTTGAGTAAATACTGTACATTGATAATTAGAGATAGTAGCAATTAGTCATTAGCTTTACGCAAGTTGGTATCCACTTGTTAATACATGTTTACTTAGCTCATCGGAAACTATCTGTTGCTCACCATGAACAAATAGATGTACTGTAGTATGGTCAGAGCTGTACAGAGATTGGTTCAACAGAGGTTCTTTAGACTTGGGTATTAGATGAGTATTAGATTCAATAGGTAACTTTTCCAAATGCCTTGGTGCCTTGTATTAATATTATTGCTACACATGAAGTTCACTGCCATGTGTGATTTGCCCATACTAGCAAGTCTTTCCTCTTGCATAATGTCTTCTTATTTGAAGTCTAGAGAGTTTTTATATTAATATTATGAATTTTTACTCGTTTTAAATTTGTGAATAATTTGTTGACTTTATGCTAGCCGATTTCTTTCTTTTTAGGGAAGTTAATACAGGGATAGCTTCAAATATGCATTCATTATGTGTGTAACAAGGATTTGGAATGAAACCTGAATTTTAGCCCATGGCACAGTACCCATACAATACCTTGTAAGGCTTTAACTTCTCGAATGAAGTGGGTTTTAAATATCAATAATGACTACTTTTTTTATTATTATTATTCAAGTTTGTTGCAATAAATATTTTTCTATTCATTTCTCGGAATGTTACATTAATGCCAACAGGAATTTAAGAAAATATAATAAGTCTTGTAATAGTTATGTACTTTGTAATTCAGTGTCAGGTTACTTGTATAATAATTTCAGTGATGGGTCATAATTAATATGATTATTACATTAAAGGTTGCACAATAAAGATAAACCACGTGTAAATGTAAAATAAACCAAAAAGATAAACCACATGTGAATGTCTCGTGTAAATGTCACATTTACATGTGACATTCAAGTCCTTTGAAAAGTGTGAGGGGCCCTTGGCCAATAGTGGGTGGCCAGCATAAGGGCTGTATTTAAGTACACTACAGTGAGTTAGGCCTAGTTACACCATTCAGTGGTAAATGTAATGACTTAGGCCATACACCAGCTCTACTGGCAAGCTCTTTAACTTATAAACCTAAAATTCACACACACATACCATGATAAAGCACCATAAATGTAATGCTGAATTTATTAATTGCTTCAAAGCACACTGTCCATTAAGAGGCTTATTCCATCTTTATTCTCATCTTACTTCACACTTATTCTTAAAATATTTATTCCATTCCCCTCCCCCATTCTTATTTCCCTTTATCTTTGGCTGACGGAAATCTTCCTCATCAAACTTTCTTTAAAAACTTGCATATGTCTGATATACGTGCGTGTGTTAAAATAATGCTCCACCATATACAGGTCTACAGATTTTTACATAATTCATTTTTCAGGCTCTCCCGGTACTCAAAAACATAAACTGAAGAAAGCTTCTGCCCTTAAGACGGTAGAACAGAAGCCTGGTGTATACACAAAGTATAAAGCTCACCTTCAGGCTGATAAGGTAGGTTGCTCTCAGAGCATCTTTCTTAAGGTCGGTGTGCTGTTTGGTTGATATTATTTGATTAAAAGCGCCCTGCTATATAACTACAACCAACAACAACTACATTTGGTGTAGTTGCTTTAGTAAAGTCTTTAGTACTGGCTAATGAGCGGTTGTACATATTTTAAATCTGATTATTATCCTGTAAGATCTAAACTATGAGGAATTTTAAAATAGATGCTAAAAATAATTAAATTGTCTCTGGAATAATTGCATATGATTGTCATTCATATCGAGAATTTCTGCTAAAAAGTAGTAGTACTATTACTTACTTTCATGAACTAAAATAAACTGGTAAATAGTCATTTGGGACAAATGATGTTCTTGTCTAAACATTTAAAGAATCTGTAATATTATATATTGTTTTTTAATTACTAATGATGTATTTTTTTTGTTTTAAGGGTCTTGTTAAACGCTTACTAAAGGGGGTGCAAACAGGTCGTCCAGTGGAAGTGCAGAGTGCACTCTTGCGGCGTCACATGCTGGAATTAACACAGTCCTTTATGATTCCTTTAGAGCGATATGTGGCATCTCTTATGCCCTTACAAAAGAATATATCTCCATATAAGGTTCGTCTCTCTCCAACATTTCATTTACGGTAGTTTGCATAAAGTTTATGATTTCCATATATTTTGAAGCGGATTTTGATTTTGTCTTGTTTCACTTGCTGTCATTAGAGAAATTTACAAGTTGTTTTACAGAATTTTTTTTCACAATTTGTCTAATGCTTGGTTACTTATGCAGGCGATACCAAGTTTGCGCCCATTCAACCCTGATGACTTCCTGGCAACATTGGAGTTATATGGGCCACAGCTGACTAGTGGTATTCGTGGAGATTGGGAAGGATTATATCGCCGATTCTTTCGCTCAGTTAACTTCTCCGTGTGGTTTAATGCGCGTCATCAGGAAGTATCGGATAAGCTTTCCGAGTTACACCTCCAGGCACTATGTGATGCAGTAAGTGATATTTTCTTTTAAATGAAAATTTTTTGCCTTTACAAAAGTATGTAAAATTAGAAATTTCTATACAAAATTATAGAAAATTTTAAGACAACAATTAGAGCTTTAACTAGACTAGTTTGTTTACTACCTAAATTATTTTTTTATTACAAGTTCTTACTACTTGTTCCATTTTGCTATCAACTCCAGTTCATCATAATTTTCTTAATATACACTTGAGTAAGGTACCTGGCATTGCTCGGGTGACAAGCAACTCATTTTCACTCCACATTTTTCACTGCACACAACCTTCATCACTGGAACCATCTTCTACCTGGGCACTGCCAGATACTCTATCTACAATCATCATCAATAATAACTTCACTCACTTACACTCGCCACCTTCCCGACCCCTTGCCACCTTCCCGACCCCTTGCCACCTTCCCGACCCCTTGCCACCTTCCCGACCCCTTGCCACCTTCCCGACCCCTTGCCACCTTCCCGACCCCTTGCCACCTTCCCGACCCCTTGCCACCTTCCCGACCCCTTGCCACCTTCCCGACCCCTTGCCACCTTCCCGACCCCTTGCCACCTTCCCGACCCCTTGCCACCTTCCCGACCCCTTGCCACCTTCCCGACCCCTTGCCACCTTCCCGACCCCTTGCCACCTTCCCGACCCCTTGCCACCTTCCCGACCCCTTGCCACCTTCCCGACCCCTTGCCACCTTCCCGACCCCCACCTTCCCGACCCCTTGCCACCTTCCCGACCCCTTGCCACCTTCCCGACCCCGTGCCACCTTCCCGACCCCTTGCCACCTTCCCGACCCCTTGCCACCTTCCCGACCCCTTGCCACCTTCCCGACCCCTAGCCACCCTCCCGACCCCTCGCCACCCTCCCGACCCCTCGCCATCTACCCGACTTCTTGCCATCTACCCGACTTCTTGCCACCTACCCGATCCCTTGCCACCTTCCCGACCCCTTGCCACCTTCCCAAACCCTCACCACCCTCCCGACCCCTTGCCACCTTCCTGACTCCTCGCCACTGAAATGATGTAAAGATGTGTGCGTGCGTGAAGGAAGATAAGGAGGGTGTGTGGGGCAGGCCTGAGCATCGCTAGGTACTCCATGCGGTATACATACATACATTCATATTTACATAAATATTTATTTTGCATACATTATGCATGTTTTTCCATTTAATTATTGTGTGGGAAAACTTGCAGGATCTAGGTGGATGGGTATGTAGTAGGAGTGAGGTGGAGGTGGTGGATATGGTGCTGAGGCTGAGATCCAAGATGGCTGCTGCCAACTCCCTGTGTGTGGACCAGCACACACACGACAGACTCCATGCCCATTTACAGACACTCTTCATGGCCCTACCAGAGGACCTGCGTTCAGTGCTTCACGCTAGCTGAAGAATACCAAAAACTGGAAACAAAATTTTTGTTTTTAAGGACAAATCAACACGATGAGTAGATTTGATATACTGTACTGTACTTGAAGATTGTATGATGTAGATCATGTAAGCTTCTATAAAAAAGGTCTCTGTGAGATTAGGAAAACTATTTACCAAAAGTAACCTGCATCACTTTAAATACATCTGAAATCTCTTATGGTTATATTGATGTTCCCTCCATATAATTGCATCTGTTTATTTTTATGGTGTTGTTTGGTGTTCTCCATGTAGGGGGGACAAATTGTGCAGTAATAACCTATGGAAGAAATACTCAATGCAAACCTTTTCATTATAACATTTCTTGCCAGTCAACATTTTAATAAAGAATATATAAATCTTGGTTTACCAATAGCTTTATCTAGTATAGTGTACTGCCAGCATTTATATGAAGTAGCCAGTCAACACAAAGTAAACTACATCATACCCAAATGCCTCATATTTGACCTACTCATTTAGTTGAGTATCTGAGGAAATTTATATGTGAACACTGTTCAGAAAACTTTATTAAGTTTGTGAGGAAATTGCGTCTTACTCGAACCATATATAATTTGAACTATATCACCTCTTCCAAGATTTTTTATTGTAAAGAAATAGAGTATTAATGTGAAAATAATTAGATCTTTCAAAATTCTATTGTACAAGCAATAGAAGGTTTAGACAGTATAATGGTATATATATACTCAGTATACAGTAATATATATATATATATATATATAACATACCTTCACTAGAAACTTTAAAACACTTTGATGTATGAAAATCCTCCCTTAATTACTAATATGATTTTCAGCTCCAAGTGTTGTAAATCTTTAAGGAAATCTCCAAAATTTATTTGGGTTACCTTGCATTGATTCCGGGAGGCAAGGTCCTTGTAGCCCGGTCTCTGAATAGGGCGAGTACAGTACTCTAATTTTGTCCTTACAGCATTTTGGAGAGAAAAAATCCCCCTGTTCCAATAGTCTAGAACCAATGAATCTTGCTCCTGTTCATCTGTTGGCTATGATGTAGTTGACTGTACACTTAAGATTTTAGCTGGCCTTTATTGCAGTTTACAGGGCATTTAAGGTATTATTTTGACCTCTAGTGCCTTTCATAATGTAGCAGTAGACTGCCTGAGTGCAAAACATTTCAAGTTCATTATTGAAAATTGCTTTTTAAGTTATCCAATACACTAGACAATATTCAGTATCTTCTTAAATTAACATAGATCTGAAATTTAAGGAAATTTTTTCTTCTTTTTCTACTTTTCATAACACTAAAAGGTAGAAAACAAAAAAAGGACATAAAAGGAAAATTAAGTAAATGTGCAGTATTTTGATATGGGGGAAGTTGAAAGTATCAGATTTTGGGTGCAGTCATATTGCTCATCTCTTATGATAATTTTCTGATTGTGTATAGCATGCATATTGTAATATGTAACAAACTAACAGGAACATCACTATAAGAAGAAGGGGTGTGTCTTTATGAATAACTGTAGATGCATCTCTGGTAAGTAAACCATAGAGATTTTCTAGTTTTGTGAAATTGAATCCCAGGGATTTTGTTCAAGATCTCATGTATATGTTGAATTTTATCTTTAGTATATGTGCTTGTAATAATTTAAACCAAAGCTCTGTATGTTGTAACATTTTAGTGCCAACCTTTTTAGTTGTAATTATTACCATTTTTTTACATGTGTAAGAATGTGTTAAGTTTCACATTCTATAGTATATTGCATGTTTTTTTTGTTTTGTTTTTTACATATAAGTTCTCATAGCTATTTAACAGTTAAGACTTCAAAGAGTCTTTAACATCATTAGATTTCTGAAAGACATTTAATCTTATTTGAGGGATGAGTCACAAACCGTTTTGAAATGACTGAATGTTAAAGAGTTGCAGTCGGTAAAGCTTAATCAAGTCCCAACTTTACTTAAGTAGAGTCTATGTAATTCTAAGAAAAGCACGAACTTTAAGCCCCTTTTTCGTGTCTCTTGATTTAGATGCATTTCAGTCAAGTGCAGGACTTTGTGTAGGTGTAGAATGTCTGGTATTGAGGAATATCTGGCAAGGACAAGTAGCATTGTTTTAATGTGCTTTGTAACAAAGCAAATTACTGCTGGCCTGGCAGTGCAGGTTCGAATCCTGGTGGGGTCATAGAGTTTTTAAGTTATTTATAGCTTAGGGAAACATTTAAGTGTGTGTGTGTGTACTCGCCTAGTTGTGCTTGTGGAGGTTGAGCTTTGGCTCTTTGGTCCCGCCTCTCGACTGTCAATCAACTGGCATACAGATTCTGGAGTCTATTGAACTCTATCAAATGTGTGTGTGTGTGTGTTTATTCACCTAGTTGTGCTTGCGGGGGTTGAGCTCTGGTCTTTCGGCCTTCTACATACACGTGTGTGTGTGTGTGTGTGTGTAGAAAGACACACACACGCACGCGCACACACACACACACACGCACGCACGCACACGCGCGCGCAATTTACCTTACCACTTTGACTGGACGGTAGAGCGACGGTCTCACTTCATGCAGGTCGGCGTTCAATTCCCGACCATCCATTTTTTTTTTTTAACGAGGAAGAGTCATGGCCAGGTTGTGGGGACGACCGCCGGAGTACTGACGGTCTCCAGCCAATTCCCGAGTTGAGATTGAATAGTCTGGTGGTCATGTGGTCAGAATACTCGATTTGCTAGTGGGTTATGAGCTCCTGGCAGTCTAAGGTTTTTTATATCGACACAAAACCGTCAGTAATTTCAAAGCGTTATATGACAGAGTGCTGGGAAGACGGGTCACGACGAGCATAGCTTTCGTCCTGTAGCTACACTTGGCTAATTACACTAAGAGGAGGACAGCAAGAGACTACAGGATGACCTGGACAGACTGAAGGAATGGTCCAACAAATGGGTACTAGAGTTTAACTCAAGCAAGTACAAAGTGATAAAGATAGACTGAGGGAGCAGGAGGCCAAACACAATTTACCAGGGTTAGATAAGGGTTGACAGGGTAGAGAAGGGCAGATTATTTAACATGGGTGGAACACGAACAAGAGGACACAGGTAAAAACTGAGTACGCAAATGAGCTGCAGAGACATTAGAAAGAAATTTTTCAGTGTCAGAGAGTAGTAAATAAATGGAATGCATTAGGAAGTGATGTGGTGGAGGCTGACTCCATACAGTTTCAAGTGTAGATATGATAGAACTCAAAAAGCTCGGGAACCTGTACAACAGTAGATTGACAGTTCAGAGGAAGGACCAAAGATGCTGAACCCTTGCAAGCACAACTAGGCGAGTACACAGACACACACAATGATTTTGTGTTCACATCAATATTAGTTATGCACAAAAATATACAAAACATTGAGGCCAGGCCAATTACTGCCTTTCCCCAGGATGCAACCCACAACAATTGCCTATTTACTATTAGGTCAACAGAGGCTTCTTGTGAAAGGAAACCTGTTCCACTCAGAGAATCGAACCTTTAATCTTCGGTTGCGAGCTAGTGGCATAGACCACTGTACTAAAGCGTCCCTTTAGGTTATCCTGTTGACAGAAAGAAAAAAAGGATTATGGATGGGAGAGTGGTGTGATCTGGGTTGTCAATTCATCACGTTAAGTAATTTCTACCAAATTGTGTTTTTTCTTTTATTTTTACAAATCTTGCTCTTTTATTTATAAATATTTTTGAAATAATGAATTTTTATATTAGAAATGTTTTACCAAGCATCTATACATCTGCTATAATAATTGTACAAATGAGTTTGATATTTTGATTGAGGTATCCAGACCTAATGTTAGGGCACACGAGCCGACCACTTGTGTTTCTTGTGTTTGAGTGGGTTCTAGCTTCTCTTTGCTCAAGCATTTATATTGTCTTTTTCTTCAGAAGTCATATAGTGTAGTGAAGGAAGTGAGTACACCAGACAAGGGTAAAAGCATCTTCATTACTATGGATAATATAATGTAATCATGGCAGGAAAGGAAATCAGCTGGTAGAAGTGACATTGAAATGTTCTAAACATTAGGATTTGGATGATGATCTTTGACAATGATTTGTACAGCATTGTAGCCTTCGGTTAGGTGTTGGTAGTGCACAGTCTGTAGCTGAAGGAATGACATTAACTATTGGCATTGAGGACTTTGAACACCAGTTCAAGATTACTCGAGAAGTTCATAAAGGCCAACCTGTGCTTCAAAGTAAGTCATCAAATTAATGTTTTGTATATTTTTGTGCACTAATACTGATTTGAACACAAAATCATTGTGTGTTGTTTATATCTGAATATGCTGGAACATGTTTTGTATCATAAAATGCCTACAAAAAATTTGGTGATAAATGGTCAAAAAATGAGAAACAATTATTTGGAAATCTAAATCAGATCCAGCATGATATGACCTGAATTTTGAAGGTTGCAGTATTCATATAAATCTTTGCAGATACAGTAATGTAAAACCAATGGAAAAGTACAAACTATGTAATACTTAGTGGTGCAGTAATGGGCATACAAAAGGCTACTTGACTTCAATTAGCAAGTGTCACGTTATGAAGATGGGAAGGAGAGAGAGAGAGAGAGAGAGAGAGAGAGAGAGAGAGAGAGAGAGAGAGACCGAGAGAGGGAGAGGGAGAGACCAAGAAGGGGGGGAGAGAGAGACCAAGAGGGGAGAGAGAGAGACCAAGAGAGGGGGGGGGAGAGAGAGAGACCAAGAGAGGGAGAGAGAGAGACCAAGAGAGGGAGAGAGAGAGACCGAGAGAGGGAGAGAGAGAGAGACCGAGAGAAAGAGAGAGAGAGAGAGAGAGGCCCCCCTCCCCAAGACCAAGACCAAAAGGAGGCTGCACCATCAGAGGTAGGCAACTATAGGTATGAGAAGGAGAGAGGCTTAAAGAGTAGACAAAATACCAGCACTGATGTTAGGCCCCTTTGTGACTGTCCTGGTTCTCTGTTGCTTATGTAATGTGAAGGATATCGCTGCCTATTTTCCCTTTGGGCTGGACCTTCCAACTTTGTGAAAGTGGGAACTGGTAATAATGATGACAGTTTTGACTTTGGTCACCTTGGAAGACTTTGTGTGTGGAAAGTCAAATGAATACTATATCCCTTCCACTATGTCGATAGTATCTATACTTAGTGCATTATCACCATTTTGTCGTCAGTTCCATCTCTCCTTCATTACACACTCATC